CCTTGGTCGTTGTCCAGCCGAGGTCCCGTGGCGCGCTGACGTGGAGCGTGGCAACCGGACGCCACATGGCCCCGAAGGCCACAGTTGTAACACGTGATGAGGGACGTCGGAGGTCTCGGTTGCTCCAGCTTGCGGGCCGATCGCAGAGGCGAACAACCCCCCGACCTCCAGTCCCCCGGTCGTCCCGCGGTGAACGCCTCCTCTCGTGGGCTGACGACTTGGAGCTCGGTGACCACCGGGCCCGGGGCTGAGGTCACGGCAGCAGTGCAGACGACCCCCTGTTTACGCTGAAGGACCTCGTATGCCTGTATACTTGTTGCGACCCGCAAAGAAGAAATATCGACCTCGTCGGCCGTGTTGATGGGGACCCCCAGGTTCTGCGCCAACTTGAGCAGTTGCTCCAAGACCATCGCGTCCTGGCCCTCCTCGTCCATACGAGGGAACGCGGCGTCGGCGAGAGCCAACAACGCTGTGCGGTAGGCGAGCACGGTCTCCGTGTCCGCCTTCCGTCGGGCGTAAAAGTGATGGCGACACGCCGAGGGAGGTCCGTAGACCTTGGCCATGAGACCCAGCGCAGCCTTCAGCGTGGAGCGGTCCGACCTCTGTGCGGACCTGAAGGCCGCGAGCGCGTCGTCGTCCAACATGGCAGGCAGTGCTCGCAGCGCCGTAGCGTCGGACCAGGCCGACATTTCCTGATGCGCCAGAAACCTGCGCTGGAATGCTCCCCAGTCCCCGCCTTCCGCCTTGAAGGCTGACAATGTGGGAAGGTGCTGCTGGAAGATGAAGTCGTCGTCCTCTGCCACGTGGTTCCTCTCCGCCCCACCGTCATGTCTGCAAGATGGCGGCCCCAATGGCGGGTGGTTGATGGCGGTCCGCAGCGCGCGCTGATGACGTAAGCGGGCGCGCTTGGAGAACCGCCGCCACGTGTTGCTCGCCGTTCCCGCCAAAAAAAGTTGAAATGGCGGGAATCGCCAAGTCATTTTGGCGGGAACCTGTGGGGCGACCCTGTTGAATGTCCGCCGACGTCCCCGCTCCTCCCGACGTGTTGATCTCTGCCAGGATGGACGCAGCGGCGAGCAGCAGCTCTGCCAGACGGGAGTGCGCCTCGCGGAGCACAGCATCTGACCCCAGTCACTCGTCCGGCGCCCTTGGCGAGTCCTGCGGCGTCGGCATTTCCTCGTCCTCTCCCCCCGATGCCAGCTGGCCCGAGTCGTCAAGGTTATCCTCGTGGTCAATCCCGTGAGTCCGACGGGTCTTCCTTGTATCCATGCCTAGGAGACTGTTTCACTTCTGACGCCAGTTGACGTATTCGGAATGACGGCAGGAAACCTCTTGACGGGTAGCACACTTTTTATTAAACCTTGACTTGTCACGATACAAACGTGTGGTCTCTATTTCTCACCCTACACACACTTCACTTGACACGTGTGGTCACTACCTTTCCACTACACACTCCACTTGACACGTGTAGTTACTATGGCTCACTCTGCATGCTCACACTGCATGCTCACACTACACTCCCGCCCCGTAATGTCCGTGGAGCCTCCAGGCCCACCCCAGCTTGGGCGTGGGTCACAAACTCTGGGTCCCGAGGGCCGGCCCTCACACGGACGTTCGGCCCCGGGTCCCAGGGTCCCGCCTCTGGGTCACACAGAGCCCCGGTCCTTACAAGGACAGCGGGACTAGGTGCCGCAGGGCCCTATCTCTTCCTCCTCCGTCTTCAATCTTCGCTGGTCACCAACTCCCTTTGCGCCTGTGCGCACCACCTTATATAGCCCCCGCTCTCGGGAGACGGAGCATATGCGGACCTCGACGTGAGCATCCCCCCTTAGTTGACCAATCCCCGCGCGCTTGCCCCAGGATCCCATCGAGTTGACCAATCCCCGCGCGCTTGCCCCAGGATCCCATCGCTGTCAGCGCGCGTCACCGATACCCAGCCAATCACTGCCTCATAACCCCCGACCCCGCGCTGACCCCTGATCCTGCACCGTCAGCGCGCGTCACCAACACACACAGCCAATCACTACGCGCTGGCACACGATCCCTTACCCCAGCGCGTATCACCACTACACAAGTACTGAGTAGTATGAGACTCTGTATGAGTCGATGGGTCTCTTTGTGGTGACACTCTTAGTTTTTTCGGTAAAGTCACGTAGGTAAAAAATGAAATTAAAATTAATAAAATAAAATAATAAAATTCACGAAGTTTCGGAGGCAACACAAGTCTCCGTCATCAGGTGGGACCGTCACAGCCAGATTTGCTGTATCAAGTGAGGCAGGGATTCCAAGATGTAAGTTCTTAAATACAAGTTAAGGGGGAGGGGGGGGGCTTATCAGAATGTGGTAGCCAATGAATGGAACGTATTGGGAGGGGGGGGCGGGGATAAAAGAGGTGTGCGTAGGCGTCGACGTGTAAGAGAGGACGAGGGGTACGTGGACGTGGACCTGTTTGTGCATAAGCACATGTTGGTGCACATGATAGAAGAGAACGAAAATGCTTGTTGTTTTTATCAGTGTTGGCTGACAATCAAATACGAGAAATGAGAGTACTGTTAAACACTGGGGATGTTAACACTCGGTAAAGTAAAATAGTGCCTGTCAGATAAGATGGTCCAAAAATGTGGAGTTGGACCATCTTATCTGACAGACACCAATGTGAGCCTCTCCCGCTCCCCCCCCCCCCCCCATCTGTCACAACCCTCTGGGAAGTCCTGTGAATCAAGGAAAACAGTTGCCTTCCCATTTACCAAGACCTTAATAACATCCTTCGGCATCGCTTGAAGTCAAGTCGAGCCCCTTTTGGACCAATGGGCTTAACCTTCAACAATGCGAGTTGAACCCTGATGAAGCTTGGAGAGCAGAATGGAGTTCACGAGAACTCACAAAACACCTTGTGAAAGACCCAACGCAGAAGATCCCCAGGTTTGATCTTTCAAGAAGCTGCTCATGGTCCACCCTAAACCGCATCCACTGCACAAACCTTGGCAGTAGACGCGGATTCCTGATACACAAATGGGAAATTTAAAACTATCCGGTGCGACTGTGGTCATCCAGAACAGACCGTAGTACGTGTAATGACACAATGCCCGATCTACAAATATGGAGACATCCCAGCGATACACTCCACTACTCCTGCTGTGGTTATTTGGCTTGACCACCTGAATGTGAAATTGTATTCTTTGGGTATTTCGGTAAAGTCACGTAGAGAGGTTCAAAAAATAATAAAAGAAACGAAAAACTACTTTTTATAGCAACACAAGCGACCGTCATCAGGTGAAAAAAATATCTACGTGACTTTACCGAATGACCCAAAGAATATTAATTCCTGCAGTCATGAAATCTTTAAGTCAAGATTTGGGAAATTGTAGTTGTTGGCTCTGCATCTACATCAGCGGCCGTACGACGAGGTGTGGAGTGAATGCCCAGCCGGGGAGTGTGATGATGAACCTGTGGCACACGCAGGTGTACTCGGAGGTGTGGAGAGGGTTAAGGGGGGGGGAAAGGGACGAGGACACCGAGGAGGAAATGAAGACCTGCCGGGGGCCGGCACCGTCGAGTCCGCAGCCAGGCCTGGCGGCATGACAGAGGGCCGCACGACACGCCCCGAATGAGTTGCTAGCGGAGACTCGCAATTTAGAACTATTACTATTTATATATTTTACCAGTTTAGGCCCACTGAGATGTGTAACTCTTTTTCAGATGCGACTTGCCAATCACAAATGATCACCCAATGAAGTGGCTTATCGGCACGAGGTAATTTATAGCAACCAAACACTGTAAACGAGTAGAGATGCGGATTCTCAATGTGGAGGGAAAAACCAGTGGGCAGGGAGAAAAATCAATGAAACTAGGGGGAGAGAGACACGCAAGCTCCAAACATACAGCAGGTGTCAGGGTCGGGATAAAACTCATGAGCTCCAGTATACCAGGCGAGATAATTAACATATCCTAGCCACTGTGGAGATGGCACACGAGAGCCTGGCAGAGGCGTGAGGGTTACTCCGTGCCAGCAAGGCCTCGGTTGGCGCCGGCCCAGCAATCACCCCCGACCCTGCTGTTGCGTTGACTTCGCGTTGCGTGACATTCCGTGACCCGTCAGCAGCAGGCCTTCAACACTTCACGTGTTCTCAAGCGCACCTAGCATGGCACAAGCGCGATGGTGACGTCACCGCCACTTCGTGAATGGCGGTTGTTGTATCACTAAGTCTTTATACTGGTAGGAACCTCCTGGTTACACCAGCCCACAGGGGATTATTGTGTTCGTCCGTCCGTCGTTCGTCGTGCATCCAAAAATGGGAGGGGTGGGGCTGGGTGGAGAGGGGAGGGTGGGGAGGGGCTGGGTGGGGAGGGTGGGGCTGGGTGGGGGGTAGGGCTGGGTGGAGAGGGGCTGGTCACCCCGTGGTGCCCTTAGAAAACTCAACGTTTAACCTACTCACGCTGGCTTGTGCCCACCCTCAGTCGGGCATATTTGCGGAATACAACACGCCGCCGTTGACCCTGGCCATTGACCGAACAACCCAACGTTCCTACCAGCTCCCTCCGCAGGAATGTGTTGTATATTTACGAGTATGTATCTCTGTATCTTTGTATCTCTACGAGTCTCCACATATCTCCGACTCTTATGTACCTCTAATATCTACATAACTAATTGGGGTCTCTACGTTTTCTACAGGTCCCTATGTATCTCTATGAATCTCTTATGTGTATATATATCTATTCATCTTTTACGAGTCTCTACGTATATTATCGAGGGAACTGGCTACATGGGATCACCATCATACGTGTAACAGATCAAAGTAAATTCAACTTAGACTGCCTTCATAAACAGCTGTCAAGAGTGACTACAACACAGGCCTCCTGCTGCTGCTGCTACCGCTGGTATCGACCCTGACCACCACACACGAGTCCCCGAACTAACGTAGGAGACGAGAGCAGCCCGTCCTAGGAACTTCCTAAACCTTCCCACTCCTCCTCCTCACACACACAGCGGACAAGTAAAACTCGTGCGAGTGTTTATTTGAAAACGTGTGGGGGGGGGACACAAGACCAAACTTCACCACGCCGGTGCAACTCAAAACGCATGGCGCCCATCCCTGCGAGCCAGCGCTGAACTCTGATCGCACTCCGAACTCAACTGGAACATCGCCTCAACGTCACCAACAAACGACAACAATGCAACATGGCCGCTAGGCCTCTACGTGGGTCTCTGTGCGAGTTCGTGTGAGTCTGTGTGTCTCTGTGTTTATCTCTGTGCCTCTGCGTGTGAGTGTGTTGATGCGTGTCTGTCTGTGTATCTGTGTCTGTGCATGTCTGTGTGTTTCCCAGGCCTATGCGTGTCTCTGTTTGGGGAGCAGTGGTGCAGCAGTTCGTGCTACGCTGCGCTACAAACCCGGTGCCGCGAGTTAAATTCCAGCTCACGGCCACCACTAGTGACGATTATCTAAACCGGTCCTGGTCCTTCCTAGGTCGAATGAGCCTTTGCAGCGGTCTGTAAACATCGTCACTGGGGAAGTCAAAGACGGCTGGGCGTGGTGCTGGCCACCCACCTCCTCGTGTGCCGTGTCGGCCTTCATAGGTGCTCGCTTACAGCACTTGCCCCAACAGTCTGCTACAGGCTATATGTTAGATCAGTGTATTTGTGTCTGTGTGTGTCAACCTGTGTGTCTATCTGTGTGCCTATGTATGCGCCTCTCAATGTGAATGTGTGTGTCTCCCTCTGTCTATCTCTTCGTGTCCCTTTGTGTGTCGGTGTGTGTCCCTCTGTGTGTGCGTGAATCTGTCAAATGGGCTTGTAGTCCAGCTTGGACTCCAGTTTCTTTGACTCAGCCACCTTGCGCACAGCCTTCATGAAGTCCTCCTGCATCACGAACTCACGCTCCGCCCGGATCGCAAACATCCCTGCAACACCGCAGACACAGACAGAGTGGCCCCGGGTAGCCTCCACGCAGAGCAGGGGCAAGGGTCGTCCAGAGAGCACTCTCACACCGACGCCTTTGTCTCCCCCGGCGCTGAAGTGGGGCCACGGTGGCGAGGAAATGTGGACTGCCTCGCCCGGTATGCAGGAGGTCGTGGGTACGCACCCGACCCGAATGCCACGGTGATGAGGAGGTGTTAATTTCCTCACCCGGCCCCACATCCACAGCCGACCCCACCTCTACAGCGAGCGTGTGAGTGGGTGGGTGAGTGGTTGACAGTGAGTGAGCGGGTGAGTGGGTGGGTGAGTGAGTGAGTGGGTGGGTGAGTGGGTAGCTGGATGGTTGAGTGGGTGCACGGGTGGATGGGTAAGTGGGTGACAGTGAGTGAGCGGGCGAGTGGGTGGGTGAGTGAGAGAGCGGGTGGGTGAGTGAGAGAGCGGGTGGGTGGGTGAGTAGGTGACAGTGAGTGGGTGACTGAGTGAGCAGGTGGGTGGGTGAGTGAGCGGGTCAGCGGGTGAGCGGGTGAATGAATGGGTGGGTGAGTGAGTAGGTGACAGTGAGTGGGTGACTGAGTGAGCGGGTGAGTGGTGAATGACAGTGTGATACTCACCAGCCTCTGTGCACACGTTCCGCAGGTCGGCTCCGTTGAAACCATCGGACAGCTTCACGATCGCCTCATAGTCTGCGCACACACAGACACACACACACAGACAGACACACACACCACACAGAAACGCGCACACACAGACACGCACACAGACACAACGCAAGGACACGCACACGGACACACAGACACGCATACAAGGACACACACACACACGTGGACACGCACACAGACAGGGTGATGGGGGTGATGGTGGTGATAGTGACGGCGGGGTGATGGCTGTGGTGGTCGTGATAGCGAGTGTGTTGATGTTGATGATGGTGATTGGTGATAATGTCATTGGTGATGGTGGTTATGGTGACATGGGGGTGGGTGATGGTGGTGATGTTGATGGTGATGTTGGTGGTGATGGTTATTCTGGTGGCAATGGTGGTGGTGATGATGGCGGTGGTCATGGTGGTGATGGTGATGATATTGGTGATGTTGGTGGTGATGTTCACCGATGTCGCCGTGCTTGGTGATGGGAGCAGCGTGGATCTTCATGATGTCCAGACGCCCTTGCTCATTGGGGAGTTCAATGTCTGATACACAACACAGCGCGACACGATTAACACACCACACACAATACACACGATACACACGATACAGCACAATAGACACACAACAACACGAAATACTTACAACACACATGCTATACACACTATTTACTACCATAACGAGCCACGTTGGCCAGACCCCCTCATTAATAATCATGAAGCGGTGACGTCTTCCAAATGGACCCCCTCCTCATTAATAATCATGAGCAGGTGACGTAACTCCACATGTAGCACCCCCCCCCCCCGCCATTAATAATAATTAGCGGGTGTTGTTACTCCACATGGGGGGGCGAGGTGCCTCCTCCCCCCTCGTCAGCGTCAACTTACAACCCTCACTACAAAGGCAGAACCCTCACGTCACGCGATCTCCGTCACGCTGTTGGGACATCAAAGTAAAAAGGGCGTCATGACGAATAAGGGATTATCACCTTTTAATGAAATAAGTATGTCACCGCGGCCTTACCAATTGCACATTCATTGATGCAATGAATATCACGTCACGGTCTGCTTTTCGCTTGCAAGTTTCAGATTTACTGAAATACACCCGTCCTTGGATGGGCAAAAGGCTAGTCACACAATATAAAGACAATACAAACTACACACACACTGTACACAATACCACATGGAATACACATAACACGCATGACACACGCAACACACGACACACAACACATGCTGTACACACAACACAGGCAATATACGCAACAAAGATAAAGTCCCACTGTATAGCCTGCAAAAGCCTGTTGGGGCAAGTGCTGTTAGCGAGTAGTGGCACCTATGAAGGCCGGCACGGCACACAAGGGGGTGGGGGTGGCCAGCACCACTCGTGGCCGCCTTGTCTCCCCTGTGGCGATGTTTACGACACACCACACACAAGGTAGTAATTTGAGGCTAAGTCGACCTAGGGTAGGCCCAGGACCGGTTCAGATAATCGTCACTGGTGTTGGCCATGAGTGGGAATCAAACTCGGGTCGCCGGGTTCGTAGCACAGCATATCGCTAACCGCTGCACTACCGCTCCCCATACATAACACACACAACATGGCCACACGATGCAAGCAACACACACAACATGATACACAACACATCCGAGTCTGTGAGTCTGTGTGCGAGTCTATGCGAGCCTGCGTGTGAGTCTGCAGCTAGATCACCTGCGCGCTCACACGCACGTGAGAGTCTGTGAGTGTGTGAGTCTTTGTGTATGTGTGTGAGTCTGTGTGTGAGTCTCTGTTGGCACAGTAGGGGGCACAGGTGGTGCATCGGCCAGTCATCATAGTCGACCCATGACACCTGGGTCTGTCCCGTGACCTCCTGCCAGCGGGCGTTCGACACTTCGTGGTATTAACATGCACATAGCTTGGCACAAGCGCCGTGGTGATGTCACCGCTACTTAGTGGAGAATGGTAGTTGTTGTATTGTTGTTGTGAGTCTGAATCTGTGGGGGTCTGAATCTGTGTGAGTCTGTGTGTGTCTTTGCTGTCTGTGTGAGCTTGCACTCACATAGTGAGTCTCTGTGTGTGTGAGTCTCTGTGTGTGTGAGTCTCTGTGTGTGTGAGTCTCTGTGTGTGTGAGTCTGTGCGCGAGTCTGAGTCTGTGCGCGAGTCTGAGTCTGTGCGCGAGTCTGAGTCTGTGCGCGAGTCTGAGTCTGTGCGCGAGTCTGAGTCTGTGCGCGAGTCTGAGTCTGTGCGCGAGTCTGAGTCTGTGCGCGAGTCTGAGTCTGTGCGCGAGTCTGTGCGCGAGTCTGTGCGCGAGTCTGTGCGCGAGTCTGTGCGCGAGTCTGTGCGCGAGTCTGTGCGCGAGTCTGTGCGCGAGTCTGTGCGCGAGTCTGTGCGCGAGTCTGTGCGCGAGTCTGTGCGCGAGTCTGCGCGCGAGTCTGCGCGCGAGTCTGTGCGCGAGTCTGTGCGCGAGTCTGTGCGCGAGTCTGTGCGCGAGTCTGTGCGCGAGTCTGTGCGCGAGTCTGTGCGCGAGTCTGTGCGCGAGTCTGTGCGCGAGTCTGTGCGCGAGTCTGTGCTAGTCTATGTGTCACTCACGGATCTTGCGGTCCAGGCGGCCAGGACGCAGAAGCGCAGGGTCCAGGGTGTCCGGACGGTTAGTGGCCATGATCATCTTCACCTTGCCCAGGGTGTCAAACCCATCCATCTGGTTCAGCAGCTGTAGGCGTGCACATGCAGCCACGGTATAGAGATACACACACGTATGTATACATATGTATAGTTTATATATAAACATACATTGACATACGCGTCTATACTCATGCGCACAACAGCCGCAATTCGCCAATGAGTGGCAGTGACGTCACCACGGCGCTTGCGCCAGGCTAGATACACCTTGAGGCTTTTCGCTGCCAGGAGGTCAACGCTGTGGGTTATCTTCTGTGATAGACTAGGTGTAGGTGGCCGTGGGACTGCCAGAGATGACTGGCAGATGCACACCACCTGTGCCCCCTTTCTGTGCCACCGTGCTGTATTTCACCGCCCAGTGCTCTGCTCGTTGTTGTGAGCGTCGCTCCTCCGCTGTTGGAGGGCGAATGCCTCCAACTGCCCAGTAGCGTCCTTCACGAGCCTCCTCCACAGAGGCCAATCTTAACACCGCTGGTACCGGTGTTCGGCAAGTCCACTCAGTTACAGATCCTCCTGCACCACATCAGCTCCATCTTTCTCTAACTAGTGCCATGCCCATTTAGCCCCCTCAATCCAGCCAAACAGAAGCTGCTTGAGCATGCGGTGGCTGGGTATGCAGGCTACATGAACCCAGCCAACGCAGCCTAACTTGCCGTAGCTCACTGATTATGGGAATGTGTCCAGATATTTGAAAGATCTGTGAGCTTCTCACAAAATCCAGCCTGGTTAAACCCAGGATGGATCATAGGCAGGCCAGCCTGAATTCTGGCCTAGAGGAGCCAAAGCTACGTGCAGAGAAACAGGTCAGGTAGCTTCCAGACAGCGTTACGCAGATGACAAAAAGACAATGCCGCTCGACTGATCTTAATTGGTTTACCAATAGAAAGCCATCCCTTGACCACACCCAGGCATCAATCAGCTTCCTATTTTATCTGTACCAGATGGAAATTGTACCGGTACATCCATAGAAAGCTTCTCCAACTCTGTGGTCAAAGATGATGTTCAATAATACACAGGGTCAAGAGAACATCGCTGTCGCACCCCAAAGTGAATAGGGAATAAGCTATGACTCCTGGCCACGCAAATTTACCCGGGCCTGCCCACCATCATGAAGGTCCTTAATGATTGTGAGCAGAGATTCAGGGATTCCGAAAGCACGAAGAAAAACGCAGAGTCCAGGTTTATTGATGGTATCATAGGCCTTGATCAGGTCAATAAAGCAGAGATGTAGGTCCCACTGAAATTCCCTACACCTCTGCTGTAGCAGCTTTACAGATAAAATGGTGTCCATGTTAGACCGGCCTGAAACCAAATTGGGGCTCCGCAAGCCTCTCCTCAGCATGCCTGGCAAGGGGGACCTTTCAAGGCACACTTAGGAAGGAGATGCCCCGGTAGTTGTTATAATCAGTGTGGTGTCCCTTCTTAAAGAGGGGGAACCACCAGGGCATCAATCCAATCCTGTGGAACCCATCCTGTGGTCCAGACAGTTGTAATGATATCACAAAGGGCAGTCTGCACACACATGTCACCCTCCCTCAGCAGTTCGTTTGGGAGATCATCTATGCCTGTTGCTTTTCCTGGTCTCAGACTGGATCACTCTTCATGCTTCCTCAACAGATGAGACGTCAGCCAGCTACTCACAGGGTGCGCTTACTTCCTCCAATATTTCAGTTACAGCTGCCCCAGCAGTCATCCCCACCCTGTCTCGTGATGTTTTATGGGCTGAGGGATTTCCCCTCCCCCAAGACCTCAGAAATGCTCAGAAAACCTGCAAACCAGTTTCTGGGGGTCGGAGATTGGATCACCTTTCCTTCCCTTAAGGATGGTGATCGGTGTGGCACTGCAAGTTACTTTTTTTGATGGAGTTAAATTATGATTTGTGAACGTGGGCTACTGAGGCAGATTCCTCAGAAACCCGCACCCACCACTGATCCTTGCAGCGCCATATGGCTCTCCGAACCTCCAAGCGAAGGCTGCGGTAAGCCTCCTCATTCTCTGACGTGGGATGTTGTAGACAGCCAGGGTCTCTGGGGAGGTCTGCACTGCGTACCCAAAGCAGCCATTGCAGCTGCAATGAGCCACAACCATGACCCTCACCCCTTGGCATCAGGAGGGGGGGGTCGATGCCAATCCCAGCTGCAGGCGATGATGAAATTCTCACCTGCAACTCTCTCACACTCTCTCTCACCCACTCTCACCCTCTTACCTCCATCAGAGTTCTCTGAATCTCTCTGTCAGCTGATGTCCCCTCTGAGAAGCGACGCCCACCTACACACAAAGACACCCCATGTAGCCAGTCTGTTGTGGCAAGTGCTGAAAACTAAATGTTTTGTTTTTCCAGGTAAGGCCCACTGAGCTGCGTAGCTCTTTTTAAGAAGTGACCTGGCCACCACAAATGAGAGCTCAACGGAGCGGCTAATCATCACGTGGAAATGTATTGCAGCCAAATACTCTAAACGTGGAGGGGAAAAACCGGAGGACCTAGAGAATAATCTACATCACCACAGGGAGAACATGCAAACTACAAATATACAGGCATCAGGGTCGGGATCAAACCCACAAACTCCTGTATACCAGGCGAAGTAGTTAACATCTCCTAGCCCCCATTGTGTCAGGGTTTGTATCGGACCGACGAACTCCTGCATACCAGGCAAGGTAGTTAACATCTCCGAGCCACTGCACCGTATTGCGACTCGCGAAGTGCTGATAGCGAGTAGCAGCACCTTTGAGGATGTGGTGTGGTCAGCACCAGGCCCGGGCACCTCTGTCTTCCCCCCGTGCTGATGTTTACACAACGTACCATGGATTAATTTAAGGCTGAGTTGATCTAGGTGAACCCCAGGACCAGTTCAAATATTCACTACTGGTGTTGTTGGTCTTGAGTGGGAATCGAACTTGGGTTCCAGGTTCGTAGCACAGTGTGTCTGTATGCGTATGTCTCAGTGTGTACTTGTGTGTGTCAATATCTCTGTGTATCTCCGTGTGTATCTGTGTATCTCTTAGCGTGTATCTCTGTGCATGTGCATCTTTCCCTCTGTATCTCTGTGCATGTGTATCTGTCAGTATCTATGTGTGTCTTTGTATCTGTGCGCGTGTATCTGTGTATGTACCTTTGTGCATCTGTTTATATCTCAATGTATCTGTGTGCATCTGTGTATGTATCTCAATGTTATCTCAGTGTTATCTGTGTGTGCCTGTGTACCTCGGAGCACGTGCATCTCTCTTTCTCTCACTCACCGATGGCGTCGATCTCGTCCATGAATATGATGCAGGGTTGGTGATCGCGGGCGAAATTGAACATCTCGCGGATAAGTCGGGCGCTCTCCCCAATGTACTTGTCTACTATGGCGCTGGACACCACCTGGACACGGGGACACGGAGTGGGTGAGTGAGTCTGCATGTGTCTGAGTCTCGATGTGTGTGTGAATGAGTCTTTGTGAGACTGTGAGAGTCTGCGTGGGTCTCTGTGTAAGTGGGTGAGTCAGATTGAGTCTGTGTGAGTGGTGAGTGTGAGTGGGTGGGTGCATGGTGAGGGTGAGTGAGTGAGTGGAGAGGGTGAGTGGGTGGGTGAGTGGGTGGGTGAATGGGTGGGTGAGTGTGAGTGATGACGGTGAGTGAGTGGGTAAGTGGGTGGGTGGGTCAGTGAGTGAATGGGTGGGTGGGTGAGTGCATGGGTGGGTGGGTGAGTGAGTGGGCAGGTGGGTGAGTGAGTGCATGGATGGGTGGGTGGGTGAGTGAGTGGGTAGGTGGGTGAGTGCATGGGTGGGTGGGTGAGTGGATAGGCGTGTGGGTGAGTGGGTAGGTGGGTGAGTGCATGGGTGGGTGAGTGAGTGGGTAGGTGGGTGGGTGAGTGAGTGTGAATGAGCGCAACTGTGAGGTTCACCTTGAGGAAGTTGCAGTCAAGTTGGCTCGCCACGGCCCTGGCTAACAGAGTTTTACCAGTGCCTGTAAAACAAGAACACACACGTATACACACACGTACATGTGCACAAATACACACACGTATATACAAGAACAACAACCGCCAATCGCCACTAAGTGGCGGTGACATCATCATGACGCTTGTGCCAGGCCATGTGCACCTTGAGGCCACGTAAAGTGTCGAACGCCCGCTGACAGGAGGTCACGGGGCAGACCCAGGTACCACGGGTCGACTGACTGAGATGACTGAGATGACTGGCTGATGTACCACCTGTGCCCCCTACTGTGCCAACTTGCTGTGCTTTAGTCACCCGGCGCTCCGCTCGTTGTTGTGAGCGTCGCTCCTCCGCCCTTCGAGTTGTTGGAGGGCGACTGCCTCCCACTGCCCAGTAGCGTCCTTCACGAGCCTCCTCCACAGGCCGATCTTGACACCGCTGGTACCAGTCATCGGCAAGTCCACTCAGCTCCACATCCTCCTGTACCACATCACTCCATCTCTTCTCTAGTCCGTGCTGCCTCCGTTTAGCCCCCTCGATCCGGCCGAACAAAAGCTGTTTGGGCATGCGGTGATTGGGCATGCGGGCTACATGACCCAGCCAACGCAGCCTTGCCTGCCGGAGGTGCTCACCGATGGGACTTTGTCCACATGTAAACACACGCGCATACTCACGCACACACACGCGTTCGTGCATTGTTTACAGGTGGGGAGTGGGGGGGGCCCGGCGTGTTGGTTACCGGGGGGCCCGTAGAGGAGACACCCCTTGGGGGGGGTGATCCCCACGCGCTGGAACAGCTCCGGGTTGAGCAGCGGCAGCTCAATCACCTGCTCACTCACGCACGTGAGAGTCTGTGAGTGTGCGAGTTACTGCGTGCGAGTCTGGGAGTGTGAGAGTCACTGCGTGTGAGTCTGTGAGTGTGTGAATCTCTGCATGAGCCTGCGTGTGGTGAGTTTGTAGTTCAATCACCTGCTCCCTCACACGCACGTGAGACTGAGCATGTGAGACTCTCTGAGCATGTGAGTCTCTGTGTAAGGGTGAGTGTGCGAGTTGTATGCGTGTATTGAGTCTACATGTGGTGAGACTGCGTTTGAGTCTGCAGCTCAATCAGTTGTTCGCTCACATGCGAGTGAAACTGTGAATGTGGGAGCCTGTGTGTGGCGAGTCTGCGTGTGGCGAGTCTACAGCTCGATCACCTGCTCGCTCGTACGCCCATGACACTGAGCGTGCGAGTCTATGAGTCTGCCCGAGTCTGTGAGTCTGAGACTGACAGTTTGCGTGTCTCTCTATGTGAGTGGGTGAGTCTGAGTGAGACTACCTGAGACTGAGAATCTACATGCGTCTGTGTGTGTGTCTATGCGTCTCTGTGTGAGTGAGTCTGAGTTTGCGTGCGTGTCTTTGGGAGTCTGAGTGAGTCTGTGAGAGTCTGTGAGGATGTGTCTCTGTGAGCCTCTGTGTGCGAGTCTGTATGAGTTGAGTCTGCGTGTGCGAGTCTGAGTAAGCCAGTGAGCCCGAGTCAGTCTGTGAGAGTCTACGTGTGTCATTGGGAGTCTCTGTGTGGCTGAGTGAGAGTCTGTGGCCGTGTGTGTCTCTGTGAGTCTCTGTGTGAGTGGGTGAGTCTGAGTGAGAGTCTGTGGCAGTGTGCGTGTGTGTCTCTGTGAGTCTCTGTGTGACTGAGTGAGTCTGAGTGAGAGTCTGTGGCAGTGTGCGTGTGTGTCTCTGTGAGTCTCTGTGTGACTGAGTGAGTCTGAGTGAGAGTCTGTGGCAGTGTGCGTGTGTGTCTCTGTGAGTCTCTGTGTGAGTGAGGTGGAGGTTGCTCACCTCTCGGAGTTCCCGGATCTGCTCGGTGAGCCCCCCGATCTCCGAGTAGGAGACCTGGCCCGGGTCTTCGTGGGACATGTTGTACACCAGCGGGTCCACCTCTCTGGGCAGGTACCTGGGGAGAACCACGGCGGGGCCTCGCTCACCCAACCACTCACCAACTCACCCACTCATTCATCCACTCACTCACTCAGCCAATCACTCAACCCCCCCCCCCCCACTCACTAACTCGCCCACACACTCACCCACTCACCCACTCACTCAACCACTCAGATATGATGATGGTTCTAATGGTGGTGTGCTAATGGTGGCGGTAGTGATCATGGTAGTGATGGTGATGATGGTGGTTGTGATGATGGTGATGATTGCAAGGATGATGATGCAGTGGAAGAGGAGCAGCTTTAACCCTGTCTGGGAAATTCCACATTCACATGGCAAGGGCAGGAGATCCAGTGGGCAGCACTGGGTGACCCCACCTCATGATGGTTAGCGTGGTCATGTCCAGGGCCACTCGGGTTCCTGCCTTCAACTTTGACTTGTCCAGCTACAGAGAGAGACAGACAGATATACAAAGAGACAGATACTGAGAGATATATCTAGGCACACTGAGACATACATAGATATCGAGAGCGACAGAAATATGCAGATATATATAGACGCAGAAGTAGACAAAAACTGAGACATATGATATACTGAGAAAAAGATCCACACAGATACAGAGAGAAAAGACATGAAGATATATACGCAGATACAGTGAGAGGTACAGATATAGAAGCACATGAGGGAGTGGTGTCACCAGCACCGTACCTGGCCACCTTTGCCTCCCAGTGCTGACGTTTAACAAACTGGAGGCGCTTATTTTGAGGCCAAGTCAACCTAGAGGAGGCCCATGACTGGTACTGATATTTGCTGTCACTATCCACTGCACCACCACTACCCAACACAAAGACAAAGGTGCCCCGCACAGCCTAAAACAGACTGTTGGGGCAAGTGCTGTTAGTGAGGAGCAGCGCCTATGAAGGCCGGCTCTGTGGCACGCGAGGGGGTGAGTGGCCTGCACCACGCCCGGTCGCCTTCGTCTCCCAGTGGTAACGTTGACGACACACCACTCCTTCGGATAATCACTTGAGGGCTGAGTGGACCTAGGGGAGGCCCAGGACCGGTTTGATTAATCGCTATCACTGATGGTGTTGGTGGCGGTCGTGAGCGGGAATCGAACTTTGGGTCTCTGCTGGGGTTCGCAGCGCAGCACAGCGCTAACCGCTGCGCCACAGCTCCCCTCAAGACACACACAGCACACACAGCCTACACGGGACACACAGCACACACAGCCTACACGGGACACACAGCACACACAGCCTACACGGGACACACAGCACACACAGCCTACACGGGACACAGCACACACGGGACACACAGCACACATGGGACACACAGCACACATGGGACACAGCCTAAACGGGACACAGCACGCACGGGGACACACAGCACACAAGGAGACATACAGCACACACAGAGATACAAAGAACACACGAGGCACACAGGGGACACACAGCACATGTGGAGTGCTCTGTCCCGTGGTGGCGACATGTTGACTACCTCGCCTGGTATGCAGGAGGACATGGGTTCGATCACAACCCCGACGATGCTTGCTGCTGTATATTTGGAGTCTGTGTCTCTCTCACCCCGTGGTCACATGGATTTTTCTCCGGGTCCTCCAGTTTTTCCGTCCACATTTAGAATCAACGTCACGCGTTTAAGGGTATTTGGCTGCTATAAATGTCCACGTGATAAGCCACTTCGTTGAGCTATCATTTGTGATAGCCAAGTCACTTCTGAAAACAGCTACATAGCTCAGTGGGCCTTACCTAGCAAAATTAATATAATGTATAGTTTTATAGTCACCTGTCTGCGACATCCGACCACATAGCGAGGCCCATTGGTAGCCTTCACGATAACTGAGACACAGAGGCAGAGAAATCATTGTCAATATCATGAACATCAGAATACCTGGGACACACAGACAGCCCGGCATTCTCACTCACAGACATACACGTATACACCACAACAACACCACTAGGTGGTGGTGACATCACCACGGTGCTTGTGCCAGGCCAGGTGCCCTTTCCGGCCACGTGCAATGTCGAAGGCTCGCCGACAGGAGGTCACAGGACAGGACCCAGGTGCCATGAGTTGACCGACTGAGATGACCGACAGATGCTTCCCACTAAGCCAATTTCTTGCGTTTCCGCCGTCTGGAGTTCTGCTCGTTCTTCTGAGTATTGCTTATTCGTCCTCCATCTGGGTTAAACCCAGGGTGGATCGTAGGCAGGCCAGCCTGAATGTTTCAAACCGGCGCAGAGGTTCCATTCCTTCAGTCTAAATAAAGATTCTGATTCTGACGGAGAAGTCTCAATGTTTCGCGAGCATAGAGAAGGGAGGGCATAACAATGGCCGAAAAGACCCGAAGCTTCATGTGGAGCGACAGGCCAGGTAGCTTTCACACAGCGTTACGCAGCCAATGAAGAGATGTCACCAGACGAATTCCGAGTGAGACCTCCGTTGCCAAACCAGATTTGGTCATAAGCACACTGCCCAGGTACGGGAACTACTCCACTCTCTCCACAACTGCCCCATCCACTCATGGGGAGTTATGGAGATGGGAGTATTTGATAATGTAAAAACACCCAGCCAAGTGCTATGTTTTGGTGGGGCTGATGGTAAGGCCCCAGGTTCAACAGCAGCGCCCTCCAACTCCTTCTCAGAGTGAGCAATAATCAACAGATCTTTTTCGATTTAAAGCTTTCGTGACTGCAGGGATTAATCTTCTTGGTTCTTTCGGTAAAGTCACGTATTATTTTATTATTATTTTCCTTCTACGTGACTTTACCGAAAGAACCAGGAAGATGACTCAACAGATCATCAGCATACGTAACATGGTTAATTAATAGGGAGCCATCTCTTTACCCGGGCATCGATCATCCTATCATTGTATATGTACCAGATGGAAATTCCTCTGGTACATAGTCAAAGATGATGTTCAATAGAACATGGGACAGAGGACATCCCTGTCACACCCCAAGGTGAATAGGGAATGGCTCCAACTCCAGGCTACACAGCTTTATTATCCAGGCCTGCCAACCATCATGAAGGCCCTTAAATATTGTGAGCAGAGAGTTAGGGACTCCAACAGCACGATAATCTAGAGCCCTGGCCTTATGATGGTATCATAGGCCTTGATCAGGTTAATAAAGCAGAAATGCTGGTCCTGTTGATATTCCGTTCACCTCTGCTGTAGCAGACGGACACATAAAATGGCGTGCGTGCAAGTCCGCCCTGGCCTGAAACCACATTGGGGCTCCGCAAGCCTCTCCTCAGCGTGCCTGGCAAGGCGATGTTAAATAATCCTTGCCAGGACCATTCCCGGCACACCAAGGAGGGAAATGCCCCTGGAGTTTTTAGTCTGTGTGGTGCCCCTTCTTGAAGAGGGGGACCACCAGGGCATCCTTCCAATCTGCAGAACCCGTCCTGTGGTCCAGACAGCTGTATTGATATTACATAGGAGAGTCTGCACACAGACGCCACCCTCCCTCAGCGGTTCACTTGGGAGATCATCTCTGGCCGACACTTTACCTGGTCTCAGGCTCTAGATTGCTCTTTGTACTTCCCCAAATAATGGTAGCCAAATATCTCCAATATTTGCGGAAACAGCAGTCCCAGCGCAGGGTTATCCCAACCTTGCCTCGATATTATCTGGGCTGAGGGATTTCCCTTCCCCCAAGTTACTCATAGAATTGCTCAGCAAATCCTTAAGGATCATGATAGGTGTGGCGCTAATGGAATTAAAGAGTGATTTGTGACTGCGAGCTACTGAAGCACTTTCCATCTCCATAACAATCCACGACCACCACTCTATCCTTACAGGACTACACGGCTCTCCGAACCTCCAAGCAAAGGCCACATTGAGCCTACTCACCCATTTCCCCTCGGCATCAGGAAGGGGGAAGCATGTCAACCCCAGCTGCAAGCGATGATGAAATTCTCGCTTGCAACTTTCATCAGCTAGCTGAGAGCACGTCACTTTGGGTTTGAATGGGGTCCTAAATGGACACCTACCACCGGAGTGGAAGAATGGCAGGTGCATTTTCCAGATGGCAAGCTGATGGTCAATGGGCAGAGTAGCACCACGATAGATCCTGGTGTTAAAGACATGGGCCCGAATTCTCGTATCACTATCTAGTCCAGCAAATGTTCTTGCTTAGACCCGGCATGCATCCATGTAGTTGTGTGGATGCGTCAATGCTGGAACGTGTTGGTGATTACAAACCTATAAGCTGCACAGAAGTCTAACAGCCTCCTACCGTTGTTATTGAGCTGATTTGGCCCATGCATTCCAATCACCTGCATCCTAAACAGGCATTGAAGTCACCTGATAGTCACTATCCCGAGATCCACTTTAGCTAGCACCTGTGACAGGTCATCGAAGGCATGCGACTCATCAGCTTTGCCTACATCCCTCCAATGATGTTCATCTTCAGTGGGGGTGTAAACCAACCACCACCACCATTCTTAAACTCCTGGTGATGGGGAGGCAAGCCCACAGTCACTTTGGACTCACAGCTTCCCACACCTCACCTCCACACTCCCAAACCCCCTTCATTCTTTTGTTCAGAAGCAGAGCCACTCCCTGTTGTTTGGAAGTTTCCTGCCCTGTGTGCAGGACTGTCCACACATCAAGGAGCAAGAACCAATCCACCGGACCCTCTTGTAATCCAGAGGTCCAGGCAATACCGCTCCATCTCCTGACGGCGTTTGTGTACGTCATCGGTTTTTATTCCAATTAAAACTAAAATAAAATAACTTTATCGGTACCAAGGCTCCCCACAAGGCCATTCTGGAGGGTTGTGTGGCACAGTATGGCGCCAGCTATCGTAGAGTACGGCGGTCGTGTTGCTACGGTTCTCTGCGGTAACAATGTTTTCATAAAAACGTCGCTACTACACCTCTCTAAAAATTGACGCTGAACCGCTCGCGCCTTCCGAGATTCAGCAGTGAAGGGGACACCCACCACCCGGCAACTTACAGACGTCTCATAACGGCAAACGGTTGATATATTTTGTGGTTTTAGTGGCAATTAAATTTAAGGTGGAGGGGTCACAAGCCCCTCGCGCCAGTCCAGAGCCCACGTTGGCCACTGTGGCGGCTGTGATCGCCATAAGGGCATCAACGGATTGGCATTGCTCACAGCTACCACAGCGTTACCAACAATCAACCACCGAGGAGGTGGCGGGGGGGTTTAAATTACCGAGCAGTGCTACCCAAATTACACCGACATGGAGAGGCAGCGAGAGACACGACACACAGTAACATCGCGACCACCAAAGATAAAGATCCCCCGTATAGCATTAATAGACTATTGGGGCAGGTGCTGTTAGCGAGCACCTATGTAGGCCGACACGGCACACGAGGGGGTGGGTGGCCAGCATCACACCCGGCCGCCATTGCCTCCCCTTGTGGCGATGTTTACACATCGCACAAGGTACTCATTTGAGGCTGAGTCGACCTCGGGGAGGCTCAGGACCTGATCAGATAACCGTCACTCGTGTTAGCTGTGAGCAGGAATCGAGCTCGGGTCGCCGGGTTCGTAGTGCAGCGCTCTAACCGCGACACTTCCGCTCCCCACAACCACAATCACCACCATCATGACCACCACAATTGCCATCACCACCATCTGTTGGAGTTGGTGTCCACAGACTGGGCCCTGCCATAGGAATGTGTAATTTCCAGAGCCAGTTCTTACATTTGTCCTCAGTGAGCTGTTTGAGAACCTCTCCCACAATCTGCAACACAAAAACAGTTGGTGAAACACTCGCAACGTGAAACACTCAATAGTCACACTCAGCCACTCGGTTATTCACTCACTCGCTAAAAAACTCATTCAGTGACACTGGGTCAAACTCAATAGACACTCAATAGACACACTCAGCTACTCACTCGCTCACTCACTAAAATACTTATTAAGTGGCACTCTGTGACACACTCAGTAGACACACTCAGACACTCGGTTATTCACTCACTCGCTAGAATGCTCATTCAGTGACACTGTCATACACTCAATAGACACACTCTATAACCACTCAGCCACTCGCTTGCTCACTCACTCACAAAAACACTCATTCAGTGACACTGTGACACACTCAATAGTCACACTCAGATACTCACTCGGTTACTCACTCACTCAAACACGAATTCAGTGACTCTGTAACACACTCAATAGTCAAAATCAGGCACGCACTCACTCATTCAGTGACAATGACACATTCAATAGACACTATCAAAAGACACTGAGCTACTCACTCGCTCACTCACTAAAATACGTATTAAGTGGCGCACTGTGACACACTCAGTAGACACACTCAGACACTCGGTTATTCACTCACTCGCTAGAACGCTCATTCAGTGACACTGTCATACACTCAATAGACACGCTCAATAACCACTCAGCCACTCGCTCGCTCACTCGCTCACTAAAACACCCATTCAGTGACACTCTATTACACACTCAATAGTCACACTCAGATACTCACTCGGTTACTCACTCAAACACTAATTCAGTGACACTCTGTGACACACTCAATATCCACACTCAGACACTCATTCAAACACTCATTCAGTGACACGCTTTGACACACTCACTCAATAACCACATGGTCATTCACTCAATGACTCCCGAGGCAGTAATGACTGTCCTTTAGCGAGTGGTGGTAGTGCCTTGTGTCTGTACCTGGCCCACGCTCTGCAGAGCCTTGAGGTCGTTCTCGGACTTGTCATACTGCTTAGTCAAATCCTTGAGCTGTTCACGGACTGAGAGACACCATCACCACCATCATTATCATCAACACCACCATCAACACCATCATTATCATTAACACAACCATCATCATCAACACCATCACCACCATCATTATCATCAACACCACCATTATCATCAACACCATCACCACCATCATTATCATCAACACCACCACCATCAACACCACCATCACCACCACCATCATCAACACCATCACCACCACCATCACCACCATCATCAACACCATCACCACCATCATTATCATTAACACCATCACCATCATCATTATCATCAACACCACCATCACCACCACCGTCATCATCAACATCATCACCACCATCATTATCATCAACATCATCACCACTATCATTATCATCAACACCATCACCACCATCATTATCATCAACACTATCACCACCATCATTATCATCAACACCATCACCACCATCATTATCATCAACACCACCACCATCATCATCATCAACACCACCAACACCATCACCACCATCACCAACACCATCACCACCATCATTATCATTAACACCATCACCATCATTATCATCAACACCACCATCACCACCACTGTCATCATCAACATCATCACCACCATCATTATCATCAACACCATCATTATCATCAACACCATCACCACCATCATCATCAACACCATCACCACCGCCATCAATGATAACAAGAGTGAGTGTAAGTGAAAGTTCGTGACGGTGAGTGGCGGAGTGATAAGTGAATCGTCTTGGTTCTTTCGGTAAAGTCACGTAGAATGGAAATAATAAAATAATAAAAATAAAACATAATAAAATAATTCTCACGACGTTTCGGCCACAACGCAAGCAGCCGTCCTCAGGTGAAGAACAGGTCTGTCAGAAAGACAGCGTCTGAATCATTTTATTATGTTTTATTTTTAGTATTTTATTATATCCATTCTACGTGACTTTACCGAAAGAACCAAGAAGATGAATCTCTGCAGTCACGAAAGCTTTAAATTGATAAGTGAATGTTAAGGAGTGTTAGTGAGTGATAGTGATGGTTAGTGAGTGAGCGGGATTGATAGTTTATAGAGTGTAAGTGATAGTGAGTGCAAGTGAAAGTTCGTGAGGGTGAGTGGCGGTGTGAGTGATGGTGATAGTGTCAGTTAGTGATGGTGAGTGTTAGTGTTAGTTAGTGATAATGAGTGATAGTGATAGTTAGTGATGGTGAGTGATAGTGATAGTTAGTGATGGTGTTAGTTAGTGATGGTGAGTGATAGTGATAGTTAGTGATGGTGTTAGTTAGTGATGGTGAGTGATAGTTAGTGATGGTGATAGTTAGTGATGGTGAGTGATAGTGTCAGTTAGTGATGGTGATAGTTAGTGATGGTGAGTGATAGTGATAGTTAGTGATGGTGAGTGATAGTGTCAGTTAGTGATGGTGATAGTTAGTGATGGTGAGTGATAGTGATAGTTAGTGATAGTGATAGTTAGTGATGGTGTTAGTTAGTGATGGTGAGTGATAGTGATAGTTAGTGATGGTGAGTGATAGTTAGTGATGGTGATAGTGATGGTGAGTGATAGTGATAGTTAGTGATGGTGAGTGTTAGTGTTAGTTAGTGATGGTGAGTGATAGTGATGGTGAGTGATAGTGATAGTTAGTGATGGTGAGTGTTAGTGTTAGTTAGTGATGGTGAGTGATAGTGATAGTTAGTGATGGTGATAGTGATGGTGAGTGATAGTGATAGTTAGTGATGGTGAGTGATAGTGATGGTGAGTGATAGTGATAGTTAGTGATGGTGAGTGTTAGTGTTAGTTAGTGATGGTGAGTGTTAGTGTTAGTTAGTGATGGTGAGTGATGGTGATAGTGATGGTGAGTGATAGTGATAGTTAGTGATGGTGATAGTGATGGTGAGTGATAGTGATAGTTAGTGATGGTGATAGTGATAGTGAGTGATAGTTCGTGATGGTGAGTAGGTGCCGGAGTGCGAGGGCTTGAGGCCTTGCGGGATGAGGCGGTGACTGTGCACAATGCGGGCGAGGCCGCTCCCTGTACGCGGCGCGTGCGGGTGAGCGCTGGCGAGGGTCGAGTGGCGAGGGGCGAGTGGTGAGGGTGTCGCTCACGCTCCCGCAGTCTGCCGTCCACCTCCTTGTGCTCGAGCAGCTTCTTGCGGTGCTCGTGCAGCGCCGCGTCCCGCTCCGCCATTGCGACTCCTTGCACTGACATGACGTCACTGGCACGCGCGCGCTCGCGTGACGTCACCGCTACTCGCATTTTGACGTGACGTCACTACCACTCGTGCTGGTGTGACGTTCCTAGTGTTCGCTCTGACGTGACGTCACCACTACTTGTACTATAGCGTGACGTCACTACCACTCGTGCTGGTGTGACGTTCCTAGTGTTCGCTCTGACGTGACGTCACCACTACTTGTACTATAGCGTGACGTCAACGCTAGTCGCATTTGCGTGACGTTACTCGCGCTCGCGTGGCGTCCCCTTCTACTCGCACTGGCAAGATGTCACTACCGCTCGCACTACATGACGTCACTACTACTCCAACTGGCGTGACGTCATCCACTGCTCGCATTGGCGTGACCTTACTACTCGCACCGACGTGAAGTCATTATTGTTCGCACGTGCATGACGTCACCTCCACTCGCACCATCATCTCTATTCGCACGGGCATGACGTCACCACTACCCGTACTATCGTGACGTCACTACTGTTCACACTGGCGTACTGCTACGACTGCTCGCACGGGCGTGACGCGACTAGTATTCCCACTGGCGGAACGTCACCACTACTCGTACTAACATGACGTCTTCACTGCTTGGTCTGGCGTGACACTACTACTCACGCAGGCTTGACGTTGCTGGCGTGACCTCACGGGGACGCTCACACTGGTGTGACGTCACCACTAGTGACATGCACGTGACGTCCCCAGATATTGACAAAAGCGCTTTGTCAACAACCACTTGCAAACGCGTGACGTCATATCCACACCCACACACGAGTGACGTCACATGCTGGACGTGGCGAGAGAAACAGAATGAATCCTAAAAGCTACGAAGCGCTTCATCACAGATGTCCAGCACGGGTGCACGGGCTCAGCAAAGTCACAACAGTGCAACAAAGAGCTTTATAGCTCATCGGATTCCTTCAATATAAATACATTTTCAGATATCGAAAAAAATTGTGATTCGTAAATAATACATCCATTTATTAAACAGCGTGGGCCATAAGTAACCATCCGATTTGTTTTGCAAATACATTTTGACGCGCTCTAAATGATGGAACATTCTTTAATTCGTTGGGATCCGATATAATTACGTGCGACAAATGATACCTTGCCTGCCACTGCCAAATCCGTGCTCTTATAACGGCGTTCTCCATCACTCCCCTCAACACTTCATTGTGAGGACAACTGCACTCCTCGCAATGCTGCAACTCTAGCAGCAGCTGGATCTTATATCTATCTCTTCTATATAAATAAATACCTTAATCTGTACGTCTCAAAAAACCTCTGGGGTTACTCCCGACAGGGTAGGAAGCTGACATTCGGTAGCTTTTAAGGACACAAACAGCGGGGAGAGAAATCAGAAAATTCGACATTTTCATTTTAAGGCCCTCAAATCTCGATTTTGAGTGCTTCCCATAAACGTGTTCTGTGCCCGGTGTCATTCAGAAACCGTTCAAAATAAAACATTGCGAGATTTTTTTGTTTCGTATGATAAGAGAGCCTTAGACGGCAAATAAAAAGACAGCGATAACCACTGGTTGGCTTCTATCTTTGATTGTGTTTGAGATATTTGGGATTCAGGCGGGTTTTTGAACGAAAATAAATTCGCATTTTGTGACGTTGACATGTGAATTAGAAAAAGGGTAAAAGATAGAAGAGCTTCCACCCGTAGACTATTAAGTTCATTAATTTTTGTTCTGTCTAATACAAAAAAAGAACAATCTTTAAATCGTCAACAATTTTTTTTTCGGAAAATATCCGAATATTTGGAGTAGTTTTTAAGTTGTCTGATCGTAGATAAACATTGGAAAACAAATGTTATCAGGTTAATTAATATATTTTATTAAAACGTTTGCCTGACGAAGACGGGCTTCATGAACTAGTTCGCTTGTGTTGCGATCGAAACGTCGTAGTTTTTTTTACCTATCGACGTGACTTTACCGAAAGACCCAAAGAATATGAATTCCTGCAGTGACGAAAGATTCAAGTCAAGATTTAGTTCGATAGAATTATGCACGAACCCCAGAACCTGCAATTGTGTTTGTTGGCGAAGTCGCTGAGGTGAAAATCAGCTTCATCCCACATCATCACATTTGTAATAAGGGGCCGTCCATAAATGACGTCACGCGATTTTAGACGATTTTTGACTCCCCCCCTCCCTTCATCACACGGCGTCACAAAAAGTCAGACCCCCCTAACATATGACGTCACAAAGCTCTGCCCCCCCCCCAAAAAATACTTCAAATCGCTTTAAACTATTGTCATTTTAGTGCGTATTTAATGTGGCGCTGCACTTTGATGTTGGAGGAGAAAACATGTATTAAAAAGTATATTTAATTAAGTAGAACGTGTTGTCTATATTTATTTACAGTCGCACATTTTGATGTGACGTCACATTTCTCACCCCCCCCCCCCTCGTCACACATAGCCACAAATGTCTGACCCGCCCTAGGTGCGTGACGTCATTTGTGGACGGCCCCAAATCACATTTGGAGGGCCTCCAGAGATTAAGTGAAAAGTTATACTGGTAGGAACGAAGTGGACCAGACCACCAATAGATTAATGTGTCCGTCCGTCCGTCCGTCCGACTGTCCGTCCGTCCGTCCCTCCGTGTATCAACATCGCCCCCTACTGCAAACACTTGGCATGACCCTACAAAAACCTTTAGACTCAGTGACGCTATCCTGGTAGCAACATCGCCCCCTACTGCAAACACTTGGCATGACACGTGTAACATTCCCTTATTCCCTGAGATAGCTTTTGATTAAAACCTTAAAATTAAATAAAGTGCGCGCGTTTCGTTAACATTAACGTGAGTAGCCGCGTGTAAGAGTTACATTTTAACGAGACGCGCGCAACTATAATGTTACTGAGGCCTAGTCCGTTAGCGCCTCGTATACAGCCTTAGGTTTTTGCGTGGCAAGGTATATTAAGCGTTTATTTTAATGTTTATAAAAAATTAATTGCACTTTTAACATTAACGCGAGTAGCCGCGTGTAAGAGTTACATTTTAACGACAGGCGCGCGCTATAATCAGTAGTTTATAAACTGTATTAGTCACTTTAAAGTTACTGAGGCCTAGTCATTCAGCGCCTCGTATACAGCCTTAGGCCTTTGCGTGGCAAGGTATATTAAGCGTTTATTTTAATATGTTTATAAAAAGTTAATTGCACTTTTAACATTAACATGAGTAGCCGCGTGTAAGAGTTACATTTTAACGAGACGCGCGCACTATAATGAGTGGTTTATTAACTTTTTTTGTCACTTTTAAGTTACTGAGGCCTAGTCCGTTAGCGCCTCGTATACAGCCTTAGGCCTTTGCGTGGCAAGGTATATTAAGCGTTTATTTTAATTTGTTTATAAAAAATAAATTGCACTTTTAACATTAACGCGAGTAGCCGCGTGTAAGAGTTACATTTTAACGACAGGCGCGCGCTATAATCAGTAGTTTATAAACTGTATTAGTCACTTTAAAGTTACTGAGGCCTAGTCCGTTAGCGCCTCGTATACAGCCTTAGGCTTTTGCGTGGCAAGGTATATTAAGCGTTTATTTTAATGTTTATAAAAAATAAATTGCACTTTTAACATTAACGCGAGTAGCCGCGTGTAAGAGTTACATTTTAACGACAGGCGCGCGCTATAATCAGTAGTTTATAAACTGTATTAGTCACTTTAAAGTTACTGAGGCCTAGTCATTCAGCGCCTCGTATACAGCCTTAGGCCTTTGCGTGGCAAGGTATATTAAGCGTTTATTTTAATATGTTTATAAAAAGTTAATTGCACTTTTAACATTAACGTGAGTAGCCGCGTGTAAGAGTTACATTTTAACGAGACGCGCGCACTATAATGAGTGGTTTATTAACTTTTTTTGTCACTTTTAAGTTACTGAGGCCTAGTCCGTTAGCGCCTCGTATACAGCCTTAGGCCTTTGCGTGGCAAGGTATATTAAGCGTTTATTTTAATTTGTTTATAAAAAATAAATTGCACTTTTAACATTAACGCGAGTAGCCGCGTGTAAGAGTTACATTTTAACGACAGGCGCGCGCTATAATCAGTAGTTTATAAACTGTATTAGTCACTTTAAAGTTACTGAGGCCTAGTTAAAATAATAAAAATAAAACATTGTGAGAATTATTTTATTATGTTTTATTTTGATTATTTGATTACTTCCCTTCTCCGTGACTTTACCGAAAGAACCAAGAAGACGCATCATATTGTTGTGGATTCGCTCTCCAGCACACCGGTGTTGCTGTACGACTCACGAATTGGCCACGTTCTGGTCACGCTGTGTCGGGTGGTGGCGGGTTTAACGACACATTTACGCTATCTAACCACCCCCCCCCCCCCCAAATAAAAAAAACTACATTATGGATGATATTGGTCGCGAAAGCCTACTACGTGTTAAACTAATACTGGTAGGAACGAAGTGGACCAGACCACCAATAGATTAATGTGTCCGTCCGTCCGTGGGAGGGGTGGTGTTGAGGGTGGTGTTGGAAATGAAAGACTACGAGTCTTTAAATCTCACAGCGTTTCTTGTCAAAACAAACACTTTTAATTAACGTTACACTAGAATACAGTAATTTTTTCTTTAACTCCTCTATACCCGGTCGATATCTCTGTACCGGTACTAAGTATTATTCCTACCAGCCCACCCCGCAGGGTCCTGTTACTGGTAGGAACGAAGTGGACCAGCCTCCAATAGATTATATCGTCCGTCCGTTTGTCCGTTTGTCCGTCCGTCCGTCCGTCTGTCCGTCCGTGTAGCAACATCGCCCCCTACTGCAAACACTTGGCATGACCCTACAAAAACCTTTACTCAGTCACGCTTTCCTGGCTAAACAAGTGTAACATTCCCTTATAATTCCCTCAGATAGCTTTTAATTAAAACATTTCAATTAATGAGGCTTTCCTGGCTAAACAAGTGTAACATTCCCTTATAATTCCCTGAGATAGCTTTTAATTAAAACATTTCAATTAATGAGGCTTTCCTG